ATTTCTATGAAGAATGCCATTGTTATTTGATAGGGATTACACTGAATATGTATATTATTGCTCTGGGTCATATGAATATTTTAACAATAGTAATTCATCTAAGCCATGAGCACAGGATATCTTTCCATTTATTTGTGTCATCTTCAATTTCTTTCATCAATGTTGTATAGTTTTCAGTGTAAAGATCTTTTACCTCCTTGGTTAAATTTATTCCTAAAATTTTTTTGTATGCTTCACAAAGGGAATAGTTATCTTGATTCCCTTTTCATGTAGGTGTTTTTTGTGTGTAAAAACACCACTGATTTTTTTGTTGTTGTTGTTATTGTGTATCCTGTAAATTTACTGAATTTACTTATTAGGTCAAAAATTATAATTATTAAAATTAAAAACTCAGTGAATGGGTTAAACATCATATTAAAAACAATTAAATAGGGAATTAATAAACTTAAAGGTATATCTATACAAATTTCCAAATTCTTCACAGAGAAATAAGGAGGTGGAAAATAGAAAAAGAACCATAAAATATTTATTTATCCTCTCATTAAAAACATTTATGCATCCCCTAGGGTATTCTAGTTTCCAGTGATAGAAAAATTAATAAAATAGGATTACTATTTGAATTGGCAGACTACTAATTGGCCCCTCCCAAATTCACTCTCTACTTCTTCCCAGAAACATGGTTGCCCAGCTAGAGACCACACTTCCCCCTATCAACTATTAATAGATTTGGCTAGAAGACAGTGTTCTTGTCAACACTATGTGAGAAGTGATTGTAGAAATTTTGCAATATATATTAATCACAAAAATGATTAACATCCAAAATGCGTAATAATTGCTACAAAGAACCCAATAGAAAAATGGGCAAATGCTATGAACAGAAAATCATCAAATGTTTGACAATACTACCTCTGAGTATGTATCCAAATGAACTGAAATCAGTATGTCAAAGAGATATTTGCACTCCTCTATTTATTGTGGCATTATGCACAATAGCCAAAATATAAAATCAACGTCCATTAATGGATAACTGGATAGATAAACTGTCATATTTATACAAAATGGAATATTCAGCCTTAAAACTAAGGAAATTTTGTCATTTGTGACAACATGGATAAACCTAGAGGACATGATGCTAAGTGAAATAAGGCAGGCATAGAAAAAAAATACCATGTTCTCATGTATATGTGGAATCTACAAAAGTCAAACTCATAGAGAAGTGCAGAATGCTTATTGAACATCGAAATAAAATTCAATTAAAAACATCGAACTCTGTGCTTAATTTTCAAGGGGTAGGAAGCAATAAAATAAATAAAACAAATCTCTTGCTCTCATGGAGCTTGTAGTCTACTAGGGATGCACCTAAGAATTTAGAAATTCAAAGTAACATCATACGCCCCTTTGTTATTCAATTGTTCTTCTACCCTTGATCAAAAATACCAGGATAACATGCCAATCTACTGCTTTTATCTTGATAGAAGAAACTTTATTTTAGCATCAAAACTAATGTCTTTTGTGGGTTCATGTACAAAATTTCAAACTTTGAATCATTTAATTTTCATCCTTTCTGTTTTTATTATAGGAGAAAATATATTTCATTGGTCATTTTTAATATATAAGACATAAAGAAATAATTAAATATGGAGGAGTATATTTTTCTTAAATCTCTGTAATTCCAAAGTTCTTAAATAATTTCTGTGAATGTATTTTGGTAAATTGCCTAAAGAAATCTCAGGGGACAAAAAGGACCTGAATTTCCAAGCCTTCATTAATTTTTTATAATTTATTTTCTCATTCTAAATAAATATTCATCTTCATGTCTAATTTCGTGTTTGTAATGGTATATTGTATTTTTTAAAAAATGATGGAAAACCCATATATACATACCCTACAACCTATGCTCCAGGCCGCTGGTGTGTGCCAGTACCTCAAAAGAACACATCCAAGAAATTCAGGGGGATTTAGGGTTCTAACAGAAGATACAAAAAACATGAGACTTAATAAAGGATTTAGGTGGGACAAACAGGCTGGGCCTGAACCAGACGATTGTCTGGTGAGAAAACACCACCCAAGATGATTCCAATCGAAGAAGAAGAAGGCTAATAAGAAGTATTTAGAATAGACCCTTTGGCAGAACTATTAAGTTATTAAGTATGAAATGTCTGATTTCCTTAAGTACTAAGTTTGACAGTTGATATCTCTGACATTTCACTTTGACACTTCTTGTTTTATTTTTATTGTGAAGGTACATCCTCAGTCTAGCAAATGTAGTTTGGCTTGTGACAAATTTTTTTAGAGCAATTTTTGTGAAACCATGGATAAGTCAAAAATTCGTGTTATTTTTGAATATGAGTTCTGTCGTGGAACCAATGCAGCGCAGACAGCTCGAAATATCACTGAAGTGTTTGGAAAGGATGTGGCTAATGAACGCATGTATGTTGATGGTTTGAGAAGTTCCATTCTGGTGATTTTTACTCTTGAAAATGAGCCATGCGGGCGACCTGAGACCAAGGTGGATAATGATGAGCTGAAAACTGTAGTGGGAGCGAATCCATCTCAACCTACGCATGAACTAGGAGCAAGGCTTGATGTTACTATTCCAACAATATTGGGCCATTTGTTACAAATCAGCAAGGTAAAGAAGCTGGATAAATGGGTACTGCATGAATTAAATGAGTGTCAGAAGAGAACTCATCTTGAAGCTTGCTTTTTTTTTTGCTGTCATGACATAAAGGCAAACGATTTCTACACTGCATTGTTACGTGTGATAAAAAATGGATTCTCTTTTACAATCACAAGCGTTTGGCACAATGATTGGATAAAGATGAAGTGCCAAAACATAGTGCAAAATGGAATGTTCATCAAACAAAGCTAATGGTTTCTGTTTGGTGGTCCAGTGCTGGTATTATCCACTACAGCTTCATGAAACCTGGTCAATTGATTACAGGATATCTGTCTATTGCAACCAAGTGGACAAAATGATGAAGATGCTTGTAAGTAAGCAGCCAAGATTGGTCAATAGAGACAGGCCAATCCTCTTGCAAGACAACTCTTGACCACAAGTCGCACAACCAACACTGCTCAACTACAGAGGCTAGACTTGGAAACTCTCTGTCATCCACCATATTCACCAGACTTTGCACCAACTGACCACCATGTCTTCCAGGTTTTGGGCTACTTCTTGCACGGAAAAATATTCAATTCTCAACAAGCTGTGGAAAACACCTTTCACAATTTCATCATCACTTGCTCTTCAGGCTTCTTGACTACTGGCATAAACAAGCTAACTGTTAAGATGGCAAAACTATGTCAATAGTTTAGGTGCATACTTTAATTGTACTGCTTCTTGTATGATATCTAATAAACTACAGTTTTGATTTGAAATCGGACATTTCATATTTAATGATCTAGATGCTTCCGTGTGTCTTATGACTATCACCTAAGTAAAAATAAAATGTAGAAATATGTTGAAAAGGAAATGTATCTGGGCCAGAAAATAAAAAGAAAATGAAATGAAAGAAGGTATTTAGGTCCAAATGCCTTAACTAGCTTCGTATTTATTAGAGAAGGTTGAAAGCTTGGATGTTAAAAATTTTAAAGATAGTTTAAAAACTTTAAAGACAGTTTAAAAACTTGGATAAGCTTTTCTGTTATTATTATAACTAACACTTTTTAACCCTTACTATGCACCAGACACTGTTTACATAAATTAGCTAATGTAATCATCCTAATATCACTTTGAAATGGATACTATTATTATCTCCATTTTGCAAATGAGAAAACCAGAATTCAAAACAGGCAACTTGACTCCACAGTGTATGTATTTAATTCTTCACCCTGTGTTTAAAGGCACTGATATTGAAGAGGTGGCAGCAATGCACAGGGGGAGAAAACCCCTTTTAGTAGAAAACTAAGAAATATCAAAGTTACATTCCTTCTTCCTTTTCTCTGAGAAAGAAAACATGAGAAGACAGATGAAAATATAGAAATAATTTGAAATAGTTAAAAGGATATGACTCAGAAATGTTTCAAAATACAGAGAGTAAATCTGTGAATTTAAGGCATTTTCTCAATAGTCCTATTAAAGACAAGGCAAGGTCCCCCGCTGAGTGAAGGAAGGTGGGAGGGTGGATAGACATTAATGGATATGAAGGGAAACAACCAGCTTTATAATTTCAAAATTCCAATTTGGAGGAAGGAGTTGGCGAGGAAATATATTTTTAAAAATTCAATCTTCAAGTATCACACAGCTTGGGAATCCCGCGCTCTGCGCAGCGATATTTCCTGGTCCTCTGGCTCCAGTATATTCAGAGGCAGTCCCTGAGCACTGACTGCACGGGTACTTATTTCACTGAATATTTGTGTTTTCAACCAGTTAGGACTTTTCCCTTTTACCAGTGCTTTATCAGTGCTAGAAAGAGCCAGCTAGGGATGAATTATGTTTGCTCCACACTAAATTGTTTTCTTAAAATATGACATACGTTCTGCCCCTTCAATACGAAAAAATAACCTCCAGGTTTTCAAATGTTTTTATCTGTGTGGTAAATCAGGTACCTGTGAGAGTCAGCAATGATTTATTACTATACTTTGTCCACAAAACAAACATATTCATATTCGTTTGAACAACAGAAAAAAAAAAATGCACGACTAACTTACCGCCGTTGTAGTCCTCTAATATGGCATAATGCATTCAACTGACCGTAATTAATGTGCTTAGACATTTTCAAGTCTGAAAAGAAATCAATTAAAAAGGTGAGTAATTTTCCATAATCTTATTAACCAAGTGTGTAAATAGAGTTTAATTGCAAACATTCATTATAGTAAAAAAATTCAGTGACTATAGAAGTGAGGTATTAACAGCCTTTTGTTCAATACACAAGCAGAATTGAATAGGGTGATTAAAAAAATGAAAGAATTTAATGTTTTTCATTGATGTCAAATCTGGTCTGGCATTTTTTTCTTTTATTTCCAGTAAATGCTGACATTTGTCTGTGTCATATAATGTCACTTTCCTGAAAGTAAACCTTTTGGAATCCCTATCCAATACCATTAGAAGGTAAACTGATTCCAGAACTCCAGCTGACAATTCAGAGAGTTTTCTAAATCTCTCTCTCTCTCTTTCTCTCTGATTCAATCCTGTCTGTGCAGGCTTATTCAATCTTACACTGGCCCTCCTATATGGCTCCACCTCTTCAGAGCATCTTCAGGTGTCTGGATTCAGTTTGCAATTTCTTCTAAAGTTCAAATGTAAACAAATTACAAAGAGCCCTTAAGAGCAGAAAGACAGTAATTATAGCCAAGAAGCAAACTAATTGTGATTCTCCTTCAGTGCCAGGAGGAACTGATATCCTTCGAATGAGATGGAAAGGAAGACAGAGCGTGGAGTATTACAAGCATCTTTATAGTGATGGGCACTCAGATCACAGGCCCTCTGGTTACTTCAGAAGAATGAATGCTGTTAGAAATGTTGGAAAATAGAAAGCAATAATAAAGACGAACTTATGCATATTATTCTATTCTTTAGTGAAAAGCTGAAAAAAATCAGTGGCTTAATGCATTTCCAAAACTTTTTAAAATTAAAACACAGTCTAATTATGAATAATTTAGAATTTGCCATGTCCAAATTTATCTGTTTTAGTTTCAGTTTCCTAAATCATAAAATTTGACTTTGTATAAACCCTTTGTGATTTAAAAATTAATCAGCAATAGCAGATACTGCTTTCTAAACGTGAAATTTAAATAAGGAAAATTTAAGTCAAAAATTGATTGCTATCCACTTAAATCATACCATTTAATAAATGTGAAAGTACTGATTACATGATCTCGGTGTTTTCTTACTCATATTACTCAGGTAAGCCTTATGAAATAAAAAAATTAACGAATTATATTTTAGCATATGAAATAATTTATTTTAAATGAGCCAAGTTATAGCTTAGATATATTGGAAATAATTTTTAGGATACTAATATTTTGATATAAGATATTATATAAAATATTAATTATAGCAGGTTTTTAAATATGTGGATTAGGAAGGGACTTCTATGAAGTATTCATTTAGTATATTTCACTAGTGTAGTTCAAGAATAATGTCAGTAATAGTCCTGATGAGTGGTGTGGACAGGAAAGGGAGGTGGTCCAGTAGAGATTTATAAAAAGGTCAGGGCTTGAGAAATCCTGACCAAAAAATGTGCTTAACAAAATACATATCCTTTATGTTCAGTTAAAGCAGCCTACAAAAAAAAAACAATAAGAATTATAAAACAGATTATAAATCTAAGAATTGCTAGCAAAAAATAGAAAAATTAAAGTACTTTAATACTTAACCATTTTTTATCTAAAAATCACGTTGCCTGACAAATGCTGCAGCAACTGAGGCCAAGGCTTTGTGAGAGGCTTGGAACAGCCAAGTAAACTCAAAAATAGAATGGGTTGTATAGCACTCACAGCCTACTAGAAGAACACTTTAACTCATCAAAACGTTTCTTCCCTGATCCTCAGTTCTGAGATTATTTATCATGAGGGTCTTTCTAGGAAGGGTGTTGAACATCGTAAGGGATCCTGTCTTTGAAAAGCAGTTTTATTAAAAATTTTAAAAGCCACAGGTTTCCACATGAAATCATAACTTTGTAAAGGCCAGATGTGAGCTTTCCTGGTGATCAAATTTAATACAAGGATAAAGCTTAAAGAGGTTCAAAGAGTACGAAGTTTATATTTGTCTTCTAATCTTGTTTTTCCCTCATGAATGTCTTAGCCAGGCTGTTGATAGAAGCAGAGGCTGTTTAATCCCACAACGGGGTTAAAATCAAGAGTTCTGACCAGTGTAAGTTTGAAAGAGGATTAGAAGATGATATAAAAGAGTGGTTACAAAATTAATCCTAAACTAGAAACCTACTGTGCAATTAAGAAGAACTATCATCTTTGTTTATATAAGGCCCACTGTGTATTATTGAAATGGAAAAAAGTAAATTCCAATGTTTTATCTCAGTGGTACATCAACGATCATTTGTTTACATATATTAGTGTTTGTTTGGGGTAGATATATTTTTATATTTGTGCAGTATGGCAAATTAAGTATGCTTGCGATGGGAGTTAAAAACAGTTTTTGTGTTAAATGTAACTAAACTATCTTTCCCCAACAAGATTTCCCTTAAGAGATAGATACTTATCACCTGTAAAATGCTAAGAGGCAGCAATGGGGTAAGTGAAGCCTTAGGAATACTGTAAAGGCACAACCACAATTTACTAGGCGACTAGGCTTATCCGAGTGGCTGGAAAGCAAGATGAAAGAGATGGACAGCACGGCCATAGAGAAAATGCCACAATGACCTTGTGAAAACATGAGGGTAGGATTAGCTAGAAAACAGAGAGCAGACCCGCTTCAAAGTGGCTGCAGTGTACACTTTAATAATTAATCCAGTGATTAATGGAACCTTGCTCAATACAATTTTCAGGGCACAAAGCAGCCGTTCAGCAGCAATAGCAAGAGAAACATTAGCAACAAACTTTTTGTAATAAGAATAGCAGTCCTCATACTCTAATAAGCAGAAGGTACATTCTAGCATAGGACTGAAGTGCTGAACAAGAAGCCGAACAGGAGAAAATTTTTAAAAAGGATCCTTCAGGGACTATAAGCATGACTAATTATTTCTATATACTTGGTTAAGTGATTTGATTCTAGGGAGAAGGAACATGTTTACAAATAAGTCTAAACTTGTATAATAAGAGGTCATTAAATATACCTATATTAATGGTGAATAATGCATCTATTCATATTTCTTCAACTAATTTTTTGTTGTTTTCTAAAATCCCAAAGTCAATTCTCCTTCAAATAATATTGGATAAACATAAGGCACCCAAAAAGTGGCAACTAAAGAAACCATCAGGAGGCAAAGGAATAGTGCCTAACCAGGGTCTTCTATAAATAAAAGTTGACACACTGACAGGAACAATTACCCGAGTGGGTCTATATTGTTCGTGCTTGTTGTCTGGGTGGGTTAAGATGTTCAGGTAGAACTGTATTACCTGAGAAGAGAAATGGGGAGAGGAAGGGAGGGAAGGGGAGAGAAGGGATAGGAAGGGGTAAAGGTTTTACAACAAATGATCAAAATAACTTCCCTTTATATCCAACAGTTTTGGAAAATTAATCTACATTCATCTTATGTCCTCAACTCAAATTCACTTCTCCATCCACTATAATTTATCTTCTGCCTTCATTATTTATTGAAATTTGTTTCATTAAAATCATCAAAGACCTTATAGTTTCTAGTCCAATAAGCCCTTTTCTGTCTCCGTCCTACTAACCCCTGTGTGACATTTGACATTGGTGAAGTTTCTTCCTACTAGGCTTGTGTGACACCATTTTCTCCTTTCTTCCTTCCTCCTGATTAGACTGCTCTGCTGACTCCTATCTTCTTCCCTCAAGCAATGGTGTTAGCCAGTAACCGATTCTCGTTACTTCTATCTTCTCTTCTCAGTTTAGATTCTCTTCTTTCATGACCTTGTCTGCACTCATGTCTCCAACTATCACATACACACTTAAGATTCTCAAATCAAACTCTCTAGCCCAGATCTCTAACCTGCACTCCACAGCATTCATGTAAATGTCCCCCAGGAAAATCAAATTCAAGATAACCCAAATTTCACTCCAGATTTCTCCCTTATTTCTTTTCCTCAAAACACTTGATACTCTCCTGAATTCTCTATGTTAAGAAAGTCCTTATCATCTATAATAACTCTATCACCAATCTTGAGAACTTATTCTACCCTTTCCTCTTCAGGACCAATGTGTCATGAAGACCAATTCAACGTCTTTTGAAATATATCCTACATATCTTCCAAATACAGCTGTCCCTTGTTATCCATTGAGGATTGGTTCCAGGACACCCCTCTCACACTCCATACCAAAATCCACGGATGTTCAAGTCCCTTATATAAAATGACATAGTATTTTCATATAACCAACTCATATCTACCCATATGCTTTAAATCCTCTCTAGATTACTTTTAATTCCTGATACAATATAAACACTATGCAAATAATTGTTATACTGGATTGGTTTTCATTTGTATTATTTTTATTTTAGCATTACTATTTTTTTCAAATATTTTCGATCCCCAGTTGGTTGAACCCACATGGAGAACCCACAGATACAAAGGGCCTACCGTATGTCCTCTCCAATCCTAATGACAATCAGAGCCACCGAATAGGGCCATGCAGTGAGCACACTGTGAAGCAGTACCATTCATATGCATGTGACATGTCAGTTCTTGTTTCACGTCCTCTTTGAGTTTCGTCTGTACTATTACAATAACCTCCTAAGTAGTCTCCCAGACTCCAGCTTCTTCCTCTCCAGTATATCCTCCATGCTACTCTCAAGTACTTTTTAAAATTTCAATGTGACTGTATAACTTTCTTCCTTGAAATCCTTCTAATCCTCTACAGGCTAAAGTTTAAACCCTTCATATGGAATACCATGCTTTTTATAATTGTTCCTACATTAACTTCTAGTTCCTCACTGAACACCACCCTCTACGTTCCTCCCCCATTCTCTCCATCCTTCAACAACACATGTTCTGGCTGCTACATGGACACACCTTGTCACTTGAATAGGATAATCTCTTTGGTTCATTTCTCAACTAAAAAAGTCATCCATCCTTTTAGATGTGCCTCAGAAGTTAACCTACCTGTGATATTTTTTGAAACATTTCTTCTGTAGAAAAAGGTAACTG